TTGAAAATAATCTCAAATCTTTGTCCTGTTTCAGGCCGGAAAGGCAAATGAGAAAGATGAGAAAGCTGGCACGTTGCAGCTGCGAGGCTATTCGCACCAAAGGTGGGTTGGAAGTGAAAAATCGAATGTTGTGTACTATTTAAAAACATGACAGTAAAGTCAAAGTTTGTCTGGGTGTTTGGGTGTTCTAGTGGAGCGTATTATTACATGATTTACATGTTACATGCAGCACTAGTTTTATATATAATATATATCACAGGTTCTGGTTAACAAACTGCTTCTGAATGTCACGTAGAAAGAGACAGGCGACTCAGTCGCAGACTCGGAAGGCGGTTCAGTGCGTTTATTTACAGTGAATGAGCAAATGTGCCAGGGAGTTAGTGGTCCAAGGGGGGGTCCAACCTGTCCAATATTTACAGTGCTCTCAACCACACCAAAACACCAGACACAGAGAGCAGAGAAACCGAACCCCTGACACTAAAAGTGTCTCTGTGGGACCAGAATCATTTTGTTTTTACATTTTGAAGTTGTGAGCAACATTTAATTACATAGAGCGACAAATTATTTTGAAAATTAAGTCAAATCTTATTTTGAATTTGACTCCAGCAAATTATTGTGTCTGCACTCAAGCAGCTTGTTTTCTTCTTGTCCAATGAGAAGTTTTGTTTTGGTTTGTAATAGTACAAACATAGTAAAAATAGATTTTTTTTTCAGTTTAATATCATTGGATTGTGTTTTTATTTATTTCCAAAGTGTTTTAACCTTTCGGGAAATGTTGCTTAACGTGGTCGTTGCTGCATTGTGACATCTCTTTTGTCATTTGGACAAATCAACCTTTGAATTCCAGTTTCTAGCAGCTGTGAATGTTCTCATCACGCCTTTTTTGTCCTCTCTTTCTTTAGTGAAGAGATCTGCACCCTGGCACCAGAAAATAGAAGATAAGTTCAAATTCCCTTTCAAATACAAGTTATATAAATTAAAAAAATCAATCCAGATCAGCACCTTTACTAGCAAAAAAGCACAACAATTATATTTTGGAAATTTTTTACAAAAATCATTTGCAAATGGCAAAAAGTTTGAATTCAAAATTAAAGAAGCTGAAAACTCTACCCATAAAAACGCTCATAATAATCTTCTTGTATCCAAAATCAAAAACAGTCACTTCCTCAAAAGAAAGTGGTCGTTTCCAGATGATCTTGCTGTTATTAAGAAACCAAAAAGAAATCCTGCCTATCCAAACTCTATCATTCCTTTCCATTCAAAGATTCTCCACATATCCGGTAATCAAATTATTTTTGTTCAAACTTTCCACACACACACTTTTCCCGAGACGTTGACAGCAGCCGAAGCAAAACATCGAAATAAAACTTTACCAAATTTACACCACAACAAACGTAATACTTGTAGTACGGAAGAGCAGCAGAAAATGAAGCTGTTTAAGGATGAGAGTGAATCGATTCGTCGACAGAATAAAAATGAAGAGAAATTTTATCATTCAATCAAAGAAATGCAGAAAACAATTCCAGAAAAAATTCCAAGTGTTGATGCAAACAGATGTTTTCCATTCCTCAAAGAGTACCTTCAGATTCATGGACATAAGCAGTATGCATTTGTTATTGTTGCCATGAAACATAGTAAAAATATCATTGTTTCTCCGGCATTTCAGCCAGATTATGAAAAAAAGGGAAATCCTGGAAAAACAAAGCACAGCGAGCCTCGTTTATGTGAAGCTTTTGAACCTTTTATGCAACAGAATGGAAATTTAGTGGAGACTATTCTGATTTATACATTCAATAGTCCATGTTTAGGTTGTATGTCTCTACTTCTCGAAAAAGCTTATCTCTGGCGCTGTAAATATGGATTTTCCACAACTGTAGCATTCACACAATTTTACGGATTAAGTGGACAAAATTGTTTCCAAACTCTCACCTACTCATCTACCAACATGTTAGGTCCATGCGGTGTGTTTTATGAAGACAGTCAAAGATGGAAGCGTGATCACTTCAAACTGAAGTCTTTCACAGTCAACAGTAACATCTTCCAAAATATCAGGAAACTTAGTGAAAAAGGAGAAAAAGAGAGCTGCCGTAAGAAAATTGAATCTTATGTCTCTGAGCTGCAAACACTGGCAAAAAATTCCTTTTGTTCACGTGAAACACATTTACAACGTGGTAAAAACACAATTTATTCTTTCGTATTTCCCCCAATGATCCAAGATGCATGTAGAGACAGTCTTTTAAGGGACTGGTCAGCACTGGTGAACGACTGTGCCATGTCAAACATGAGACAAAAAATAACCCTGAATTTTAATGTTGCGATAGTTGAAGTTATTAACCAAAATCTTAAGTCCTCTTGTGGGAACAACAGCCCTCTAAAGCTTTGCCACATCCCTCTGAATCTGCAATGATTGAGACGACTCTAAATAAATTATAATTAAAAGAATTTTATGTGTCTGTGCTGAAAAATTGAATTGGATGTATAATAAATAATGTATATTCATTTATTCTGAATAAATGAAAAAAATTAAAAACATTTTTTTTTTAAAAAAATATTAAATTATATATCATAAGATATATAATTTAAGACATATTTATATACGTCCAGAGTAACAGCCGTAGACTGCAGTTTGCCGCCTGTCAGGTAGTCAGTAATCCAGGGGAGCTGAACTCCCTGGTGACTGTAGCCTGGTGACTGTAGCCTGGTGACTGTAGCCTGG